GTATTCCTTGTTTACTACTTTGTATTCTATTCTTACTAGCTATCCAAACCCTTCGATTGTGCTGATACCCTTCCTTACTCGCACACGATAGCTGCGTTTGTCCCACGTCATTCCGACGTTCTATTGATCTTCTAATGACGTATTCAGTCGCAGCTTGCTATTACTCCCTCCGCTAAACTGTTCCTGGTCGCTAGTTAATACTATTGCTTTTCAGCTTGCGTCAGTGGCCAGACAAATCTAACTGTACTTGTTACTTACCATTTCGTTTCCTATATAGACTTCTTATCCACGCTGCTGGCACTCCACTTCTTTACCACAACATGTTAAGATGATCCTCTGAGAGACTAAAAAGGAGGCGATCTGGTAGACAAATGCGGATCACTGATGGGATACAAACGGCTTCAAAGCACCTTGAGGAACCAGTTCTAGCAGGCGCACAAACGCAGCTGTTTTCGAAAAGATTAAATGGTTTATCTATGACGCCTACCCTAGAGATGCTTCAAAACCGTGAATATTGTGAAGCTGGTTCTAGTCAGGGTGTGGGACGAATTTGGCAACGGCTAGATGTGGCCAGGTTCTTTGGGCTAGACCTTTTGCTAGAGGATTCGTGTATGGGCACTCTAGAGGGATAGCAAGTTTTTGTGAAGTAAGGATTTTCACGAGTTTCCAGAAATTCTGTTACTTTCGCTGTTCACAGTCCGTTTACCTGCTCAACGGGATCTCTAGTGATGTTAGGGTAAGCTGAAGGGATTTTGTGACCAAGGATTTCCATAGGAAGAATTGGAGGGGCAGTATTAGGACTCCTTCAAAATGGGGCCTCGTATTCGCCTCCAAATTCCTCCAACGCCCTGCTTTTAACCCTCCGTTCACTTGCTTCCCCACGCGTTCCCCTTACGCGTCTCGGATGCATCAGAAAGAGTAACAGGGATAAATATAAGTCTATTCGATTACCAATTTCCAACATTTCTACAGTTAGTCTCTGGGTCTTCGTATTATTCAACTTATTTGAATGTTCGGGCTCAGACCCACCTAAGAAGCTCTCACCATTGCTGGAAGTGCTGGGTACTAAGTGCATTTATTTCCTGTGTTTCAGGATTTTCTTTCCTTTTTTCTCCACTGGCGGTCCACCTCCCACCCCTACTTTCACATTTGAGTGGAATCACCCCATCAATTTAATCCTGATTCTTGCCTTTAAGGACGCCGTAAACCTTTGCTTGCTTCGTAGTTAGCGGTATTAAGCCATACCCGTCGGTGGTTTTACTAACGATAAAAAGATGCTCACTCGTCAATGTTAATATAACTACTTTTTTCCAAAGCTTTCCAGGCGTCTGGAGGGACACTTCTTAAGTGTCTCTGAATTTCGGAGATGTCTCATTCTTATTCCTCTTGCTGCTACGTCAGTCACTATCCTTCGGTGACTAATCTATCACCTCAGCTACACTTTTTTATACGTTTTATTATAGCAATCCTCATTATTACGTTAATCTCATTTAATTAGTGTCCTATTTTCACATTCACATCGGGGGCGGAGGCCTACCACCTTGAATGGACTCACCACCAATTTTGTTGAGATTCACAGGAAAACTTTTGAAAAGGTCCATTCAACCGACGAAAGCCTGTGTTCACCAAGCGAGTGAGGTAGCAGAGCCCCTAACACAGCTGTCGTGGCACTGTCGCAACTCGAATGTGAGCAGCAAGGGCGCCAAAGCCTTGGGCTCTTCCCCAACTTAATTTCCAATGGACTGCCTTCTCCTAGGGGGACCCGTCCCTCGCCATTGCTTCTATCACAAGGTCGGGGGAGACTGGATTGGTCATGGGACCCGCCATTCTACTCGTGATGTTCTTGCTAAGGCACATTTTTCTCTGAGGGTCACGCTGTCAGGAATCTAGAACAGCAGAGTGTGACAAGCCCTGTTACGCAACCCTGCCTACCCCAACCTCAGGGTGAAACCAGCGGCGGGGACGCTCCCCCTGGGGGAGGAATAGGATACGTCTCGCAGCATACGCGATGTCTGCACCTTCTTGTACAACGTGCTCTCTCGCGTATCACCTCACCTGACCGCGCTGTATCTCTCCGTCGTGCAACACTTGAACGCAGGAGAAAGAGGGTCCTCAATTCCAGGGTTTGTTGGTTTTTTGTCTTTTTTCTCACTGCCGCTCCTCCTATTACCTGGTGCTTCATATTTGCGCGAAATCGCCGACCCTAACCAGTGCTCTAGAAGGCGATGTTTGGACGGCACATACCACAGCCCCCCGTTTTCTTCACAGATGCCATCCACTTGGCTCTCGAGAAGGCATAACCCTCCCATCAATATCTTCTTTGCGTTTTTTGTTGGTTTTCTCGATTATCGTTCGCAGAATTTCGCCGTTAATCCGTATATGAGAGGCTTCTCACTGACATAAATCTCGTAGTGATCGCTTATGCTCGTTGTTCTAGATGCGGTTCAACTGACTATGCGAATTCTGTCTTCATTCTTCGCTGTTCTCTTCACGTTCATCAATCCGTGCATGCTCTACAAAGGTGAAGATTCCTCATATCAGACTTTCCCCTTGAATTCCTTGAATCATTTAATCTTCGATATTTCAGTCGTCTCCGAATTAGAATCCTCATTCTCTCATCACATGCCGGAAAAGGTGCGAATTCGCCTTCTGGAGTCCATTTGCGCCTATTTCATCAGTAATAATCTGACCAACAGGCTACGTCTAGTCGTTTACGTGTCCGGTGAGTTTTTTGTCCTTTTCGGGTGATTTTTACCAAACACACCCTCGGGCAATCCATGCTTGAAACTCTATCCTTCATCAGAGACTTTCACTTCTTCTCCTCTCTTTGGTCCTTTGATGTCCTCACCTCCTGGGGATGAAGTCTTGCTCCGAGCACCCTGATCCAAAATCGAATTTAGTCTGTCATACATGAACGTCTTATGAGACTCTTGCGGATGTTTGGTTCTACTCTGGGATGCGCCACGCATTCCACCTCCATTCAAAATCACAATAACATTTGAAGTGCAGTTTGGTTCAGCAAATAGGCTTGCGGTCTCTGACGAACAAACAGATGTTTTCCCGAACCAAACGAGTTTGGTACCATACGTGGGTGAAACTCCAGTATCCGGGAAGACAATGGGTGGGGGGGCAATATTCATGTGTTTTCGACAAGGATAAGGATAGAACTTCTCAGTCCCTCTTAGGAGTTTTCAATTTCGGAAGTCTGCTGTTGGTCTGATCGGGAAACGGTCCTGTAACTAGGGTATGGGCTGCTTTTAGCGAAAGGATGGTGGTAGGAGCCACGAAGTTACGACGACACTCAGGATGTGAGCAGGAGTGTTGTAGGGCATCCACCGGTCCTTATCAAAAGTACGCTCGAAATGAGTCGTTCACTTATTATCTTATCCGTAGTGTTCGATAGCCCAAAGGACTGCTCTCTAGTACTACGGATAAGATAACAAGGAGTGCCCCCTCCCCTCCACGAGCTGGAGTTTCATCCAAATGTGTAATCTACCAGGTAGGAATGGGAGGCTTACTAAAGCTGGGCTCGAATCGATTCGAGGTCTGATTTCTGGGTCTTTTGCTTGCTAAGTGATACCACTTCTCATTAGACCACATTTGCCTCATTCCCATAGTATTTATAGCAGCACTCAAAGTAGGGTAAGCCTGAAGCTCTGGAGTGTGCCTTTTTTGTAAAACCCAGGTGCCTTCCGAGTATGGCTGGTGAGAAGCTAGGAAAACTCACATCGGATATGGGGCGATTATCAGGCTAATCCATCAGCCACTCCTACCTAGCCTATTAGCTTTGGATTAGTTGTTGACGTAGAGCTGTCGCAAGTGACATGTCGCTCGCATACAAATAATACCTACAGGCGTCATTCGAGGGCTTCGTTCTGAATGACTTCCCTTCGATAATCGCATCGTTTGGTCAGACAAATTCAGATTTTAGTTCTGGCAAAAAGCCTAAAACTGGTTGAAAGAAATAAATCCTAACATAGTTATAAAGGCCACGGACTCACCTGAAAATACAGTTTAAGGTGTAAGTTCTCGGAAGAAAAGCTGTGATTGCCAGAGGAAGC